ATACTGCATGCAGATGTCTGCTAATTCCAATTAGAGAGCAGTCTTTCTGTGCGCTTTAATTTCTGAAACTTCTGCTGAAGTTGGAAGCAGAGTAGCTGGAGGCATTGGCAAGACTGCAGCGTGTCACAGACTGAATCAGTTGAATTTGTATGATGTGCCACACCTTCAGCACTGTTGTGCAAATCATGTAATTATGAAAAGTACTCTGGAACAGCTCAGATGTGGTATTTCTCAACAACTTTTCATAGACTCATAAAACCACAGGGAGCCATGCCTCACCTAAGTGAGACTGCAATCTTCTAAGCGCACTTGTGCAAGTCTGAAGAGTGTTTCCAACATATTTTTTTTTTCTATATGGTTGAGGAATCATTAGTTCTCGCTGGACTCATTGATTGTTCAGTGTAGAATTTGAAGGTCGTTCTTTAAAGAACAGCTGCAGACAGATAGGATTGTGTCTGCTGAAAAAGAGATTTGGTGTGAGAGAGAGAGATATATTCTTTTTAAAGGGGAATTGTACTTCTGAAGTATGCTTAAAACTGTCGCTTTTCAGAATGTTGTCAGTTGGATACATTTTTTTCTTAATAAAATTTTGTTAGATATTGAAGAGCAATTCTGGCTGTAGACTGGTATTTCCTGCAAAAGCTATGCATATTTGCCTGGCATGTTTCTTGCCTTCTAATTTCTGTTGAATAAGGGCTGTTGATTTCACACTTGGTCAGAAGTATACATTGTAGTGTTTGAAAATGACACTGTGACCATAAAAAGTACAGAGGAGAGCTATCACAAGAGCTGTTTGAGGCCTAGTGAACCATGATTATGGTGGAAATCTACATGCTGAATAAATGACATTTTTTCTGTGTTTGAAGTAATTTACTAAATTACTTAGTAAATTCAGTTAGTTCAGAATAACCCTGAATATCACTGAATGCTTTAGTTATATGGGAGAGCAAATGTTTTAGGCTGAGTAGGAGAGCTTTGAAGAACATGACTGTACTGGATCAGACTGGCTTTTGATTATGTTTGTTTGTTTGTTTGCCCCCCCCCCATCAGTTTTTTTTTTTTTAGTTTGTTTTTGGTTTTTTCCCCTCAGTTAAATCAGTTACACTGTTCACTTTTCATTGGGGTAGGTAACAGCATTCTGCCAAATGTTTTTTGGCGTTGGACTGTTGCAGTCAGTGCCAAAAAAAATACACTGTATAAGCTCAGGTACACAGACTTCAACCGTCTTGGCTTTCCTTTTCATCTCAGCTCCTCATTAGTGTTTCTTCTCCATCTCCGTAAGCATTTGTCTCTCCTTTTGTTTTTTTCCTTTTTATTACTGGAGGTCCCAAAATTTTGTTCAGCCAGCTGCATGTAGACTCAGGGTAAACTCATGCACAGTGTGTGGACCTAATGGTCCATATGTGTGAGGCTTATTTGTCACCCTACATCTGGAAAATTAATTTGGCCTGGATTTATTCCGAAATTTAAATGACCAAATAAGTACGTTAAAAAAAAAAAAAAACCAACCAAAAAACCCACAACCAACCAAAAAAACAAACCCCAAAACAAACTCAGAACAACCCAAAAATATTTTTTTTATTCAGCCACTTAAATTTAATTTCAAAGTTGCATAGTCTTTCATCTGTTTCTCTGGATCACTGCAATGCATGAATGCTTGTTAGTTACTCTACAGACTTTATAGGTGGTTAAGCACGGGAACAAGCTGCCCAGGGAAGTGGTGATGGGTAGAGGTGGTGCTTAGGGACATGGTTTAGTGGTGGTTTTGGCAGTTTTAGGTTGATGGTTGGATTTGATGATCTTAAAGGTCCCATCCAACCTAGACAGTTCTATGATAGGTTGTTATATCTCCTTAAATTAATTCCCTGGCTATCTTTTTAAGTAAAGCTTGTTTGTTAGATTTTGTTTTTTTCAGACTCTGACTTGTTTTGCTTAAAACTGTTAATTTTTTTTTTTCCCCCTCCATTTGAATCAGTTATTGGTGTATGAGCTAACCGTGGGGGCAGTAGTTATCTTTGCCTGTGTGATAGAACATAGTGCTTTGGAACCGATTCTATTAGAAGATGCATGTTTATTGAGGTAGGATAAATATCTCAATTTTGGTGTCAGAAGTTAGACCTAATGTTCCTTTTAATTACAAAAAAGGGGAGTCTTTTTTTCAAATACTTGGTATGTTTTAAAAGTCAATAAGCTGAAATTGATGGTGATTAATATTTTCTAGATTTTCTTTTAAAAAATTTGTTTATACTCTCTACTCAACAAAATCACAATTCATCACAAAACCTGAACATCAGCTGAGGAAAGAGGCTGCTCAGAGGAAAGCAGTAGTCAGACATTTCATACATTACCTTTGTTTAGAAACTAGATCTAATCTTCATGATGATTTTGAAGAGAAATTTTGAAGGACAAATTTTACTACTGACAGTTCCAAAATATTTCATGATCTAACTAAAAATCAATGTTTTGAAATGACTCTTCAAAGTGTACCACGTGGTAAGGAGACAGGATAGTCTGAGGTGTTGTGGAAGTGGGATATATAAGGCACACACAAGAGTGTAGGAGAGAGACTCCTGTGCATGGCAGACTCTTGATTTACCCACAGATTAGTGCAAATCTCATTACAGCTGGTTTAAATGTAAGCAGGATAATAATTTTCACCTGCCTTTCCCAAGCCCTTCAAGATGTGCAGGTGTTAAACAAGATTAATGCATTATTCTTACTCTGTTTTCTGATCATTGCAAGGTGCTAAGGCTGATAGCGTTAGACTAGTTAATTTTTTTGTTGCATCTGTGTCTGAGATTCATAGAGTGAAAGTTTCAGACCCAATATTTGGAATGAAATTAAGCTTTGAGCCATTTCTTGTTTGATCAGTGCCACTCACTTCATTTAGTAACCTGCTCGTGCTTTGCTTTCTGTTTTATCAAACATTCAGTACCTAGGTAAAAAGTGGATAAAGGCCATTAATTAAAATAATCCATGGAGGTTAGAAAGTGCAACTTAATCAGAAGTTTAGATCTGAAAACTAGGTAAGGCTTTTCCAATTTTTATTTTGAGATTATTGGAGGAAACAGTTTTTGGTTTAGAGTGAATTAGAATAATATCTGATAAAATACTCATTGCTTTATGGTGTCCTTGTTATGGGAGCAGTGTAAGATTTTGTGCCCTTAATGATTAATTTCCTTGATTATAAGAGGGTGTTATTATTTTTGATTGTAAGAGGGTACATGACACTTATCATTCAGCAATCTTAACTGTCAGAGCAATCCTGTGGTGGTTGGGTCTTTTTCACCCCTTTGGAATACCTTGTGTAAGCTTGGATCTTGTTAAAGGTAGTTACGAAATATCTTTGACAGATTTTTATTACCCATTTGAATCTAATCACAATACCCAAAGGCAACCTGGCAAAATAAGGTGGCTCTTTTGGAAATTAGTTGTCCACACCCCCAAATTACAAGCACACAGCTTTTTAACTTTAAAGTGACATGGTACTGTCGGGCTTGGGGGTGGGAGGTCCTTATCAATACCAAACAGGCAGATACTGATTTTTCAAGGTCATTCATAGGTACATCATTTAGGATTCTTGGTGAATGTGAGCATCTGCTTGTCGATGTCAAAATACAAGTGCGCTTCCTCAAGATAGCCATGATGCTTTTAAAAACTTTTTTTTTAACCTTCAGTTCATAATGTTTTCATTTGGTGATGTTTTTTGCCCACTGAGCATTTGATTTCTTTCTTTTTTGTTCACAGGGGTGGTTAGTAATGTGTCTTTCGCTTAGTATTGGGGAAGTAGGAATGAAGTAGTAGGGACTACAAATAAGTAAATTAATTACTTGGTTATATAAAGAGAGCAAGAAGCCTTCTTGCTCTCTTTCCTCTCCTATTTCCAGCTTGAATGTTTTGACCTGAGGTTGATTGCTAACTGATTCAAGAAGATTCCTGTCCTGAAGTGTTTAAAAATTACGTTACATTGTTGGCGTTACATTGTTGGCTTTGCTGTGCTTTTTCTGGCTGCTGCCTGAAAATGAGTATTTGTGTGTCTTGCTCTAACATAAAGATTAAATAACTTTTTTTTTTTTTTTTTTCCTTGGCATGCTACTACTGTAATGAGGAACAATATAGGTGAGGGCTAGAAAACATTTAATTTTAAAATATATAAGTATAGATATGTGTGCATGTATGTATTTAAATTTGGATACTAATTAGTTGTCAAAGTAGCCAAACAACTAGAAACTGTTTTTAGAATGTGAAGGAGAAATAGATCCAATATTTTTTTTAAAAAATGCTTTTGGCCATGATTGTTCAGTAAAATAAGCCTGCTACTGATGTGTTACTACTTTGTTTGTTTTCTTTTCTTTTCTTTTTTTCTTTTTTTTCCTTTTTTAAATGCGTGTCTTCTTACTGTTGCTTTCAGGTAGGATGTGATTTATGTGGTATATGCAGCTGTTGGCATTTCTTGACCTAAAGTTTGGCTTGACATGTAGAAAAACTAAGTTACCAAAAAATATGGCACTAGTGTAGCCTGAGAGCTAAGCATCTATGTGTGTGACTGGTAGTTCTAAGTGACTTTACTTCTTTACCATAACAAAAGCAGCAGCACAGCATGCTCTATGTGTCTTTGTATATTGCTGCTGTAGGTGATCTGACCTTGTGTTTGCACTCCCTCGACCCCCCCATCCCCCCCCCAGTTTGTTTAACCACTTCCTCAGGAACTGAGATGTCTGTTTGCACTGGCACGGGTTGAAAGAAGTTTTCCTTACCTAGCTGTCTGCTTTTTCGCTACTGGATTAAGACTATAGGCAGATAAAAAATCACGCAGTTTTTAACTTCGAAGTTTTTCAGTGTGGAATTCTGATCGCGTAATCAAAATACCAAACTGTAAGCCAATGTGGTTCAGCCTAAGCAGGAAGGTGAATTACGTGCAGATGAAGCTAATCACGTTGTTCTCTGAAAAACGTTCTTCAATGTTAGGAATGTGTTGGGGACTTTGACCTATTTATTCTATGAAAAATTGTTCACCTACCCGTGTTTTATATTCTCACTTAATTGTTGTTTAGTATGTCTGAATTATATACGGTTTTCCATTGTAATAGAGTGGTTTACTGCAACCATCTGTGAAATCTCTTCTGTGAGACTGAGCAATGCTTTTATTTAGTGTGGAGGAGGAAACCACGTGTACTGTTATGCATGAGCACAAATATTAGTTGATTTCATAAATTCGCTCATTGTCACAAAATGACTTATTATTGGTTTTCTCACTAAAAACTTAATCTTTCTGGATTTGGCTGAAAGTAATAGCAGAAGAAATAACTAGATTTTTTCCATAGCTGTAATGTGAGGGTAGGTTTTTTGTTTCTTTCTTTAAATATTCTTCAGCGTGTATTTGAATTCTTTTACATTTGAATGTTATTTGAGTCAGGCTAAGATTTGATACTGTTAAGACTTCTATTCATTGTGCATCTCTTTGTTATGAGGGTATGAAACACTGAAATAATGGTTAATTTTTGTATTGTTTTGTATTGTTAGTAATGCTTACCAGGAAACTTGCTTCCTTGTAAATTCTCTTGCTTCGATTTAAATTTAACTTAAACTCTGGGTTTTTTTTTTCTTACCTTTCTCTCTAGTATGTGGGTGTTAGCAGATTCTTAAAACAAAACATTTAAAATAGTATAATTTAAAAAATGTTTCCTCTTCTATCTGCTTTCATTTTGACTAGAATGCTTTTTTTCTAAAATAGGCAATAAAAATATCTAGCAAATGAAACTTACGTTAAATAGAATATTATTTAGAAAATATCAAACAGTTCAGAACAAGTTCAGTCTGTTTATGAACTTCTTGTAATGGGGTTGAAGGGAGGACAGAAAGAAGGCTTTCTGTGAAATGAAGTTTGAAAACAAACGTAAATAACTTGCTTGTAAGTAAGGTGTAGAACGTGTCACTAGTTTTCAAAGCCTATAACGTTCTTTTTTCCTGTGTTCTCTGTCTAGAATGGGGCTTTAGCCTACTCAGAGGTTTAACTCTTGTAACATTCACTTCCTTTTTCAGTCACCTGGTTTTCATTACAGTTACTCATCTGGAATTGACTAGCTTTAAGTTCTCAAAATGTAGAGCAGATACTTTTACCAGATGTGTATACGGTTTAAACACACCACTCTTCCCCCACCCCCAAAAAAAAACCCCCAACCCCAAAACAAAAAAAAACCCAAACAAACACCACCACCCAAAAAAAACCCAACAACCCACCCAGTCAGCAACCATAGATATTTAACTCAGTATTTAAGGTCTGGAACATATTACTAGATTATAAAATAATGTTAGCATTTTGCTTGGACTTAGTGCACTTCTATGTATGTTAATGTCTGTCCTGTCTTACGATTTTACCCACATGTTTAGTTGAGGTACTCATTTCAGTATTTTTGATTCCTCCTGAATGTAAACAGACAACAGTTAGATAATAAAGGTTGCGTGTATGCTTGTAGCAACTGCATTTTTAAATGCACAAAAGAACACGAAGTCAAAAACTGGGAACGTGATCAGTTGTGTTAATACATGTGTACTTAGTACTAAGCAACTTATATTGCCTGTTATGAATTTTTTACATGCTGCCTGTAAAAATACTGATTTGCCTTGGAGGACACTTATATTTTTTTAGGCTTCTTTGATTCTGCTAATGAAGTATTTTTTCAGTGCCAGAGTGTGTGATTCTGCACATATCCAGATGTCCTGCAGTCTTGACTGATGTTCTGTGATGAGTAAGACTTCTAATTTTTGCCCTGAGAAGCTGTTCTATTGTATATGCTGGTTTATAACCGAGTTTATGGGCCAGAAGGAAAGAGTGCACATAACTCTATAACGTTGTGATTTGGACAGTTCATTGTAAGTGGAAAATCTTTGGTTCCAGTCTCAATTCTAACAACTCAATGTTTCATCTCATGGCTTTTGAATATAGAATGCATGGATATTCATTGCTGCGGAGACTGCAGCCTAAGTAAAAGCTGTAATTAATAACTTCAGCAATTTCCTACTTAGAATACTGGCTTTCATAGATGACTCTCCCAGATGGCAGATGCTTCTTGTGTATTGCATATGGGAAGTTTTAGGTGTTTAATTCAGAGCTGTTTTTGCAAGTCACCTTAAAAGTTTTATGTGGAGTGCTGAGTTTTGGGATGTCTTACGCTTGCCTGCAAGTAAAATGACATAAAAGACTAAACTGTTAGGGCTAGTAGGCTCAGTTCTGATCAATGCTGGTAAAATTCTTTTGGTAAATTAGTTGACCTCTCGTTCTCCATTTTTTTGGTCTGTAAATAGGAAGTGGGCTCTCTGGGAAATACTCTGAATCCCGTGACTGAAAACCTTTGCATTTGAGATGTTATTACTAAAGGGGTTTGCATCATTTTGGTTAAATGTTTGTGTAGAGTTTTGTATTTCCACCACTTGTGATTGTTTCCCAGGATTTTTTGCTTGCACGTTTCTCTCACCTTTACTTCCAGATCTTTGGAAGTAGGCAGCTTTTAGTCTGATTCTTTAGACCTGATGTGCCCCAGACAGAAGGATCGTGTTTCACAGGGCAGGGGTTTCACATTTTGGTATGCGCAGACTGTTGTTTCTTTTTGCTTCACATGTTGGTAATGGAGACTGCCCAGCTCTTTCTTGCTGCTTTTGTCAGGTTCTTTTAGGATCAAAATGTAGAGCAATGTTGTCCTGCTACCAAATCTTAATTGCACAGGGAACTGAGGGATCATTAGGCAAAATCAAGTTAAAGGTATGGGAAAGGAAAAGTAAGTCTATTTCTGTAGAATAGTTTAACAGTATTCTTGTTTGGCTTTTTTTTTTTTTTTTGAAATATGCACATATATGTGTGTGTGTATACACATGCATACATATAGCATGTGTATACAGCATGTTATACATATGTAGGATATATATGTGTTTATCACCAAGTGCTTCTGTTTGTGGGACAGTGTGCTCAGCACAGTATCAGTATACCAGCGCAGCCACAACTATGTAAATATTTTTCCTTATGCAGATGCTGAGTGGAGTAACAGTGGCCTTTTTCAGTTTAGCTTATACCAGTTTAGCTGACCTATTATGTCAACATAAACTGAATTGAAAAAAGGTCACTTAGTCCAAAGATGTTTCTGTGCAGGTCATTATGTTATTGTAGTTTAACCATATAATTATACAAGTAAGATAGCAGTGTTGGTACAGCTCCTTTTGAGAACAAAGTCCAGGCCGTTTTGTAAAGGCTGTGGAGACTATTGGAAATAGTTCAGTGACCCTAATCGTGTTTCCATTCAGCGTGCTCTTAACAGAAGGACCAAAGTATTGCTCTTATTGTGCTGATATTTTGTGGCCTTTTCTTTAGTGATGTAATAAAGGACTATTTTAAAACTTGGATGTAAGCACAGTTCTGTAGTAGCTATGGCCTCAAGTCACTTGTGCTCCTGTGACCGGCAAAGTCGCCGGTTTGCATTGATCACGTGGCTGTGCTACTTACTGCCAGATCTCCAGTGGACGCTGTATCTTGCAGGTTTCTTAACTTGGCTGCCTTACAGAAACTGCTTCCTGTTTGTCTCCTCCTCTTCCTGCTTCTTTTTTCTTTTGCCAGTTTCTAAATTATGCAGTGTGCTATTTAAACATAACTATTAGTTTCAGAGGTTGTTTGTATACTTTTACATAGTTGTAACTTTCCTGCAGTGTAAATGTGCAGCTTTGTTCTGGAAGGAATACAGTTCACGTTTCACGAGACTGCACTTAGATTCAGTTTTCAATAAGAGAAAAAGAGTCAAGATTCAGAAGTACGTATTTGAGTGATCATGAGGGTGAGATGGCGTAGGGGCCCTGCGATGAGAATGCCAAAGTGATTAGCTGTATCTTACTCATTCTACTTGGCATAACTTGATGAACATTATTTATCAAGATGACTTACAGTAAGTGGAAGGTGGAGGGCGAGGGACATCTCTGAATGTCCCTGTAGTTACGTATGGGTCTGTATGTAGTGGTGTTTAAATGATTGCTCTATTGGGGGCGGATTGATACTCCATTTACTGAGAACTTTGTAGGCTGTATAACAAATGAGTATTCAGATTTCACTTAGAGAAATCGTTCTGTAAAAGATAGCATTTCCCCTTCCTTTTGCATGATAAAAAATTATGTTTCTGAGCTTCTGAATAAGCTGATATTGATGTAAAATGGCAAATGACTTACTGCTTCATACAACATTGTGGCATTGCGGGATTGCTTTCCCTTTTCTTTTGACATCTTTGCCTAACCACTTGAAGCTATTCTAAAAATATAGCAAAACGAGGCAGTTGGTAACCATTGCGGTAACCACTTTAGTTTAAGCTGAGAAAGCAGCCAGTGTTCCTTAGCCCGTATACCATCAAATCAGGTGTAACACAGATGATTAAGGCTTTTCAAATGTGTTTAAGGTGTTAGTTGAACATAACTTTATTCCAAACTGGGGAGTGCTAATGTAGTGCACCCCTCCTCCTCCTTTTTTAAATAGCACTAAAAAAACCCAAACCCTAAATTGCTGTTGGAATACTGATCACTGAGGGAAGACATACATACCTGTACAAATGGGTTTGAGAGTCTTTCCTTACGATTCTGTGCATAACAGTCTGACCCGAAAGTCCTGAAACCCCAAGTCTGTTTTAAGGGCCAAGTTCCAGGGCTATGTAATGTGCTTTGAATTGAGAAGGGATTTGCTATGGATCTGGATTTCTTGTTCGTGGTCTACTTTTAAGCCTAGTGCCTTCATGTCAGTACCACACCTGACAGGAATAACATGTGCTTTCTTTACAGATGAAGCCAAACTGTCTACCTTTAATCTAGATTATAAGCAGTTCAGGGCAGTGACTGCGCTTTTGCTGTGCGTTCCATGGTGCCTGTCTTGTTAGAGGCCTGACTAATGCCTGAAGCTCCTGGCCTAATCTAATTTATTAATAGTAAGTAACAGACGGTAACTGCTTCAAGATCTGCATTGAGGAATACCTAGAGAGCCGAGCTTTAATGCAGGTATCTACTGAGCCAACCTCAGAGAAATACAGAATACAATCTAAAGCAACCTTTAAAAAAAAAAATCAGTTGTGTAATCCTCTCAGAACAGAGCAACTGTAGGTCACAAATTTGATACTGGCTTCTGTGTTTAATCTTAGTGGGAGTCACTTCCACGTTATTTGAGTTCTTTGTGGGAGGAGATGTTTGTGCAGAAGATAAACTACACATTTATAATGTGATGCAATTGGAGCAAAGTTCTTCCTAAAAGTTAAAGCAAACAAATGAGCCATCTTTTCCTATTCCCCAATATGAAAAATGGAACATTTTAGTGGACGCTATTTTTTTGGCATTGTGTGGAGTTGGTGGACTTGTTTGCTGGCTTTGTGCAGAACGCTTCAACCTGACGTGAACTCTGCAGAGTGAGCACTACGTCAGTATAATTTAACACTTGACAAGCAAGCAGTGCTGGTATTTAAAGTACCCGAATGTGAAATTGTAATTGTTTGGAACATGGTGGAAAGTAAGAGTAATAGTTTGCATCGTAATACTTTGACCTACTGTTTGAGAATGAGTTCTGTCTACTGATGATAACATAGCAAAGTAAAAATGGTATTTCAAAGTGGGAGATTTCTTCTGGGATTTTAACGCTAGGAAGACTGTTTCATGTTCCTGGCAAAAGGCAAAGTTTGTTCATGCAGCACTTAATTTGTGTTTAAGTGTGTGAATAGTTTTGGCTTCTGTTTCCTTCTGGTTAATTTTTTACCTTTCAGTAAATGTGTGTAGGAAAATAAGATTGTATCAGGTTGGACTGTTGGTCCATTTAGCTTGTTTTTAGCTGATGATGGCTATTTAAGATCTTCCCTTTCTCTTCTAATTGCCAGTGCCAAATGTTGGTTTTCTCGATAACATTTTGGTCAAATTAGATGAACTTCTTCCACTTTTCTAACTTGAAATGTAAGCCAAAACAGCTCTACCTGGCTGTCCTCCATCTATTGCAAGATTACCATCACAGCTGTGGGAACCCATCAACTTTAGAAATAGGAAAATTTGTTTTTGGAAAGCAGACGTGAGAAAATGTGTTTCTCAAGTAAAGTAATAATTGCGCAGTTGGAGTAAACAATTCTGGAGCTTTTACTAAAGTGTTTGAAGTTACTTCAAATAATATTTCTGTGGAATGTGCTTTTATTCCAGTTAACACAGTAAAACTCTTAGTTTTAAACATTCCTTGGATTGGGCCTGAGAACTGAAATACAACAACTATTTGTAATAATGAATTCAAATCCAGAAAACAATTCTTTAAGAAGCAGTGTTAATTAGTTTATTTTTCCATCTGATTTAAATAAAAAGGGCGAAATCTAATGGTGAAAAGTATAATTAGCTCTTCTAAACAGCTAAGCCAGTCACTTCTCTCTCAATTAAAAATTGATGTCCTCTTTGCTCTTTCTTTTTAATTAGCATTTAATTTGATAAAGAAACTTCTTTTACTTTTATTAGCTTAGTTTTCTCTGGTAGTCTGATTTTAACAGTTTGATGTGTACCATGGTTTGTAGCTTGGTGAACCTATTTTTAAGTTTTGCTAGGAGTCCTGAATTATCCTTCTCAGGTGATCCTGCCCTGGAGCAGCTTCTGTGCATGCTTGAGTTTCCCCAGTTCCTTTCTCTAAGGTGTGACTCCAGACAGGGAAGGCTGTTCTTAAGCTTTTCCACAATAAATAATGATATAAATAATTTACATGTACGCTAGGATTTAATAATCTTCTCTTTGTCCCTTCTTACCCCTGGCCTGACAGACTTTTGTGTTTCTGATGTCTTATTTTTCCTCTGACTCTTTTGACTGCCTGCTCCAAGAAGCAGTTAGTTATAGCGTGTAGAAAAATTAGGTGGCTTCATACCCTTTTGTATTTTGGGGATAATTGAAGTAGTCTTTTTATTGCTATTTTCTGCCCTTGGCGGAAGTTCACTTAGCATTTAATTTTTCTTTTCTCATCATATTTGTTGGGTGTTTGAAAGTGTAATGCCATTTCTGTAAGTTCTGTGGTAATGGACAGTTGTTAACAATTTTACTTCATTCAAATCTAAGCGTTATATATCGTAGCATCCCTCCTTCAGTGACATGATCCAAACTGGAATTCCTCACAAATTTTGAGCATTTAATATCGATTTAGTTGTAGTTCCAAAATTGCGTTTGTTTAGAAAGATACTAATGGAAATTTTGCTCTGCTTTCTTGTCTTACTGTGTTCTGACTACATGGGTTATTTACTGAGATTTTGTTTCTAATCTGAATTTTCAGACTTTGCTACTGGGTTGGCATAGGAGTCAGAATATTCCATTTCTATGACTGTACCCTGGGATGGTGTTTTGTCATTTTCTAATATCTGCTGTTTTTTCCCTTTAAGCCCTTTAGCTTAAAAACATCCATGTTTATTGAATTTAAGTTTTCTAGACTTATAAGACAGCTAAAAAATTACATAACATCTTCTGATGTCTTGAATGGATTGCAAAGCACAGCACTGTTACACTTTAACCTTTTGGCTTCTTGTGTGTGACTGAAAGGGTAAAATCTTTATGGATAAAGCCTTTACAAGCACTGCAGCATAGCAATATGTATTGTTATAAATGCATAATAATATTATCATGCATTGTGCAGTAATTTATTCTGTGTGCTTCTTAGCAGATTGCCCAGCTTTCTTGCACTATTTTCTTGTATTACTAGTTTTATGAAACAGTAGTGAAGCGCTGTGGCTTTTTCCCCTGTTCGGTGGACTGCCTTATTAAAAGCCAAAAGAAGGGTTTTTAAAATTTACCAGTGTTTCTGCTATTTGTGCTTCTGTTATTTCTGTATTGTATTTCAAAATCAAGTAGACCTCATGTGGATGTAATACAAACAAAAAAGTTTAAATGTTTCATGGAAAGTAACAGGTAAATGTGTACCCTGAGACTAAAACCCAAGCCAGAAGGCGGCTAATGTGCTTTAGTGTCAATAGTCTGTTAGTTTAGTCCCTACTATAGGTTAATGAACATGACTGGCTATTTTATATAACTATGCTGCTACAGTGGAGTCAGCAGAGCTATTGCTAGCACTCAAGGTGTGTTATACAACTGTAATATCAGAGCCAATTAATTTGATACGGTTTTTTAACTTTTTTTTTTTTTAATTTTAAATCTTTTATAGTGTGCCGGTCAAATAAAAGTCCGTGGGTCTGTCTGACGTGCTCAAGTGTCCATTGTGGAAGGTGGGTACCAAGTGCTAGTGTGCAAATCTTTTAATCAGACCTTTATCTTTTTTTTTTGTTGCTTGACTTTGAGGCAGTTCTTTCAAAATTTTCCTGAATGCCTTATAATTCGTCGAAATAAACTCTTCCTGATTTCATTTAATGCTGTATGTTTATACTGAACACACATCTTTGCTACCTTATGAGAGTCCAGAGATGACACTCAATGTAGGTTTTTTTTTTTTCCCCAAAAGAACAGAGTACGGTGACTGTGACGGCTCAGCTCAAAAATTGCCTGGAGAACTGCTAATTCAGTTGATTGTTGTAAAGTTCCATTCTGTAAAAGGTGTTTCTATCATAATAAGATTAAATGAATAAGAGTTCTTGGAAATACACAAATCCAAAGTTCGCACAGCTTATTTTGAGAAAAAGAGCAACTGTCCGGCTTAGACAGAAAGTACCTTAAATGTACCGTAGTGTAGTTTTGGACCGGTTATTGCCATAACATAAAAGGGCTAGCTGCCATCAGAATTCCTTCAGAGTACACCAGTTCTTTGTCTGTATTAGTTGAAGTACACCAAAAGAATTTGTAGAGGAATGATATAGTCAGTGCTGTTATTTATATGTCTGGATAATTGTAGAAAATTTGCTGTTAAATAAATGCTCGAGAAGCACATGTTAATGAGAATGCAGTTAGTATTGACATTTAGACATTGTCCAAGATATGAACATGTTTTCATCTGTAGGGTAGCATCTGTGCTGGTGTGCTGTTATTCTGGAAAAGCATCATTAAATTTAGTGACTTTGTCTTTTAAATTGGATTCAATAAACTCCAGGTTTTGTTTCTTTGATCTGGATAGCAGTAAGTACCACAATTTTAATAGTATCTCTTAGAGTTTTCAGCACAACCCCTCCTTTTTTTTTTCCTCTTTTTTCCTCCTTTTATTTATTCATTTATCTTATAAATTTTATACTTGGTGGGAGCAAAGAGGGGGAGCTACTTTGTGTTATGTGATGGTGTGAAATAAGTAGTTTGGAACATTTTACTTGTTACCCATTTTTAAAAAATGTTATTACTGTCCACATATGACCTTTCTTACGTGCAGTTAGTAGTCATCAAGTCAGTTATTTATGCAGTTTGTTTTGACTTTTCAAACTGCTCCCGTCCTTAGACTGGGAGATAATTGAACGAGAAGAATGTGACACACTTTGTAACGGGAGCACTTTTGATCCTGAAAGCACACAGCGTATTCTTCTGTTCAGCTAATGTTTGAAATCAAAGGAAGAGAATAGAGCTTTTCAGATCTTCACTTGAAGTACATCCTCCAGGTTAGAGTCATTGGGAACATCACTGACCATGTTACAGCAGCAGAGCATTTCTGATGGGAGCATAACTTTATAAACCTGTCATTTGCACTGATAGGCAGAAAACAAACTCCTGCAAGCACAACTGTGTCCTTCAGGTTATGATATAATTGCTGCAGGATTCAGCCAGCACAGCAGTGTTGGCCACCCTGTGGCTTCAGTGCCTTAGCTAGCACAGCTGCGTTTGCAGAATCGTTTACACCTGCATGCAAGAACAAGCGTGGAATACAAAGACCTTTGTGCGGAGCATGTGCAGTTCTTATAGGTTAGCATTACTGAGTTCAACGAGCAAGAAATGGGGAAGGAGGGAATTCACCTGAGGGTCTGGCCATGCACTTCTAAAGTGTTAATGACTTCCAGCTGATACTTAGGGCCTTTGTGTTTGTAATGACACTTTTTTTTATTAAAGATGCTTAATTTTCTAGATATCAAATTTTGAGCGTAGAAATGCTCATTGTGTCAGAAAAAGAGCTGTAAGGATTTTAGATTTCTTTTTCAGTTATGTGACCCCAAGCCCGAGAGCCTTTTAGATTAATGAACTTTATAAAACGTAATATACTCTAATATTAAATCATGCTGCAGAACGCGAAAGCATAAAATGGATGTGCATTCATACGGGGGTCAGCATACTGTTAAAGTAATCACAAACATGATGAGTGCTGGGTGGAGTGAAAAACAGAGCTGTAAGAAAAGTATATGGGAAAGCAATATGGAGAACTAACCACATTAGAAGTATGGGAAAAGGGAGCTAATGATTTTCTCAGTTGTGGAGGTGCATCAGTCTGTTCAGGGCCCAGATCCTGGGGTTTGGTACAAGGATGTCAGTTTGTGGTTGCTACGAAGGAGATGAACAGATCAGTTTGGACAACGTGGGAGGGTAAAGGGGTAAAAAGTTAAAAAATTTAACCAATGTTTTCACACAGGTGAATTGCCGATTTTAATGCCTGTATGCATTGCATGCTTATTAGGCTGCCTTTTTTTATTCTTATTTTCAGTGAATGTTGGTTAAGTAACTGTTTAAAAATATAAGACTTTTTTTTTTTTCCATTATTTTTAGATATGTGAATGGCCATGCAAAAAAGCATTATGAAGATGCACAGATTCCTATGACCAATCATAAGAAAACAGAAAAGCAAGAGAAGGTTCAGCATACTGTGTGTATGGATTGCAGTAGTTACAGTACATACTGGTAAGGGTTTTAATGCTGTAATTTGACAACTTTTACTTACTAGAAAGTGAAAACTTTAGACTCTCATGAAGCATTATATTACACACATTTTTGAGCACTTCATCTATTGATTTGCAGACCTGGCTGTTTAAAAGCAGTTATGAAATAACCTTCTGCTTTTGCATGTATATTGTAGCACCAGTTGTGGCTAAACTACTGCATTTCAAAGGACTTTGCAGAAACTTTTTGAAATAAATTCTATTTATGCAGTTTGGAGCTGCTTTTGTTTGCTTTGGAGTGTGCTGAGACCCTAACCTTTTAATTGCAAAAGCTGCTTTTTTGGTTGTAGTTACTCTTTCCATTAAATTGGTGAGCCTTTCACGTGTCATTTATTTGTCAGAATATCAGAAAGTAATACACTATACTACCTGCCCAAGAGATGTGAACTTGAGGTGTGTATGTTTGTGTTTTGTTTGGGTTTTTCCCCGATATTAATTTTTTCCTTCAGTCTGAAAGAAAAGCTGCTTTCTTTTGGAGATTTGGTGCAACCTGTATGAGTTTGGGAAAGTAATGGATCCTGTCAGGAAGCAGTATCAACTCTCTGGCAAGATTAAGTAGCAGAATCACAAAGGTGATTCTTCTAACAGAAAAATGGTTGGAGCTGATTTATTCTGTCAGTTTCTTAGAGTAAGATATAAGAACTGTTTAGGGAGATTTAATAGTTATGCTGGTTCCCTGTTATGTCGGGTTCCCTGTCTTCCTTGTTCCTCAGAGCAGAGGCTGAAAGACTACTGGAAGCAATGCTTTTTTGTGCGTTCAGCATCTTCTGTCCTCTTCACCTCTGAGCAAAACTCCACAGTCGCTTCCCCATTTCCTGTTAGCTTCATGGTTTCCCATGTATGTTGTTACTTGGGTGGTGTGGCAGTGCACGATTTGAACAGTGCAAATCTCAGTAAAATCAGTGTTATGGTCTTGTAAAATTGGGGTGGGATGGGTATTTTGTTCAAGTAATTGGGTATGTTTTGTGTACTTCATCTGGGAAAAATCTGTTTGCTGAAGTTTGGGTATCCAGTTTTATGAGGAATACTTCGGCAACAAATATTTTTATCCCCAGCAAGTAAAATAAGTTAAGTGGTCTTACCTGAAGAAATGTTGTTTAGAGCAACTTAAAAATTAGTCAGATGGTGTGTGCAGCATTGGCAAAAGCTCTGTGGACATTACGCATAGACGGAAGGTTTGAGTAGCGTTGTCCTGTATGGGGATTTTGCTTCTATTTACATTATATTTAAATGACCAGCATTTTTATCTGCTTCTATGTGAAAACATTAGAAAACATAACATTTTTTTAAGTGATACACAGGTTTACCAGCATTGGAACAGCTAATTCCACTTTTCCCATTAATGTTGTTAACAACCAAGTTCTACGTTGTGCCTTTTTGTTTTGTTCAAAGTACGGTGTGTCTTCTAGTCACTCTGAAGGTGGTAATGTGTGGAGGGATATTAGCAGGGTATTTGAAGTCTTGATTATATCTCCATTTACTGTGACAAATAGTATGCCCAACTTGCTGAGGCTTGATGAGTTATACCAGCAAGTCAGAGCACCCTGCTGGCCTTACCCCAAACCCAGTACAGGCATTGCAAAATGATGAAAGCTCAACTGAGAACTATGGGATCTGTAACTGAAACAAACTATGCTTGTGAGGAGCAGGTAGGCACACACTTAGGAAGCTCACTGGTGTTTCAGAGCATATTTGTGGTAGGACAGATGAGAAGCAGTTTAGCATGTGATGTCTTTTCTGCTGTAATCGAAGTTGAAGGCTGAGTCATCTATGGATGAACTGGAACTAATTGTAGAGAGCTTTGCCTTGGGGAGATCCTGTTGTGTATAATTCACTAGCAAATTATAAGTCTCCTGTGCTAATGTGAAGCTGAACAAGTTTCAAAAGCAGTGTATCTTTGCTTTCATGTAGGATATTTCATTTTTTTACCACCTCATAATCAGAAAAAGATACCTGGGTTTGTTATTGCACCCATTTTTTTCAGTGGAAATGAGCTTAGATGTATAAAGATGAAACAGAAAGCATTCAGACCAACTTCTCCCCCTTTTATGTCAGACAATACTGTAGAGGCCGCTATCAAATAGTGCTTGCCAGTGAAAGCACACAGTTGGGTGAATTTGAGGCATAACTAGCTACTGTGGAGATTTGAATTTTGAAATGTTATTTGTTAGCTTCTTCAGTGTAGACGTGAATCCAGTAGACACTGCTGTGTTTATGCAATGATGTTTCTTTTAAGTGAACTTTTATTTAAAGATTAATATTTTATGCTAGCCGTGTGGGTAACCTCAATAATTAGGAAGTCAAGAAAATACCATCATAAGATTGAACTGAATTTTACTTCTACTGTAAAAATAAGCAAGATATTTTCATACAGTGATGGCTTTTATGTTTTTATTTGCAATTTTGTTTACTGCACAGAGTTGAAGACTCTTGTTCCATTTTTATCCTATGGATCCCAATTTACTGTGTTCCTTAGCTTGCATGATAGTAGCAGTGAACAGGTCTCTATGGGCTCTTTCCTAAGCAGAAGGCGTTTAATACTTTGCTTTTCTTTGGCCATGTCATAAACTTCTGTGCCATCATGAGAGCACAGTCTAGGGTTTGCCTTAGTTTTTCTTGTTAGTCGAAAGGGAAGAAATGCTATGTGACTATTGAAGCTACCATAGTTTATTGAATTTTTTTTCTAGTTCTCATGCAATCTTGCTGTAAACCAAAACCAGATCAAGCAGTCTCCTGCAATTGCATTTCAGTGTGGAAGTCTAGGTGTGTATGTTTTCTTTTACATATCACCTGCTTTCAGCATAGCTTTGAAAGGAAAACGTTTCCATTCTGGTGGGATGATCGTTAATTTTTATTTTTTTAATCTGAGATTAGGTGGTTATTGTATTTATGAATTTGGTAATGTTTTGAAAAATACAGGCATGCTTGAGATATCATTAAGTATTGAGCAACTAGGGATTTGCTTTCCAGAGGGTTTTGATCTTTCTTCTGTGTCCTCCTATTTGCCTGTTTAGTCTTCACAGTGGAAAAGTCAAAAGAATGTTAATCTTTTATTTATTATGAGAGTATGGCTCTCTTCTTGATTCTTTGGTCACTTTTGAGACAGTAGATGCAATACTAAACCTTCAGACTAAATTATGTTTGAGACCCTAAGCGCTGAGAAAAACAGACTCCCAAATTCTACTTTCAGTTAGTTCTGAAGTACTAAGCTCAAAGAGTGAAAGAGTTTACAAGAATTACAGATTTTTTTTTTTCCCCTGATGCTTTCTCCTGCTGTGTTAGTGGTGGTTTCTCTGTGCACAAGAAGTAAAATGATAGGTGTCAGAAGCCTGCTTTCAGAAATACATTTCCTGAAAGGGGACTCTTGTAAACTTGTTTTCTCAGTGCTAGTGCACAGACAGTTGGTTAGCACAGAAGAAGAAAGGCTGCCCTGTTTGTGTATTTGCATAATACGTTTCCTGTGTTCATTTAATCCCAGACTCAACTTGCAGGTCAGATTTCTGACCCATTACCCTCCTTGTTATCTCTTAAAGGGACATGGTTGTGCTAATGTGTTCCTGCCTTTCCCCCAGACCGATGTAAAAATAACTAAGTACCAAGGACCTTAAAAAATTCTTTCTTAGTCTTTCTTTTTGTGATGGTGGTTTTATTTTAAAAACAGATTTACTGTGCTAGTCCATGAACATGCGAAAATGAGATTGCTTAGGACTGCTATTTTGCATTCTGCAGTCCATGGAAATTAAAGAAGTTAAAAAGCCTTTTATCAAGACAGTAAAACTTGAGTTCTTAGTTTACTCATATAAGGTGTTAGTGCAACTAAGGAAACTTGGATTTTCTGAATTTTTCTTGTCTTGTAATTCTTCAAATGCAATCAGGGCTTCATAGCATGAAGTTCTGTAACCTACTGAAACGGCGAGTACTTGTGTACTTACAAGTGTACACTTACAAGTGTAATTGTTCCCCAGAGCAGTGCATACATTCGCTGGCGTGCTGCCATTTTAGCAGCAAAGGAGGCCAGAAAAGACCAGGCCTTGGGGGTAGCAGAGGTGCTAAAAATAGTGTGTGGAGAGGAAAATATTGTGCTAATGCATATAAGGGACCCTCCCCAAAGTATAGAATTTGTTCTGTACAATTGCTGTTAAAAGCATATTGTAGAGCTGCTAGATGCAAAAATGTATATTGTTAATTTGTGATAATCCTAAGGATCACAAATTAAACACGTTTTGAATGTCAGTTTCACTTATAGGAAGTAATCTGTTGGCAGTTTACCTTTAAGGTGTGTGGGCTTAGCAAATTTTAAGCTATTAAAACATAAACTACTTCCTATGCTGTTTACTTTGTTTATCCAAAGTAGATTGGTTCTAGTGCTGAATCCTCAGTGTTGCAAGGGAGGTGGTTTAAAAAACCCTACCCATTAAAAAGAGAAATAGAAGAAGCTTGTCTTGTTTTTAAGTGAATCTTAAAATTACTTCGCCACTGTTGCAAGGACGCTGATATTTAATGATGGTTTTATTCCTCCATCTTGAGGAAAGTGCTAACTTGCAATTTTATGTAAAGATGTAACTGGTATGTGAGATCAGACTAAAAATAAGATTAATACAATCTTTAGGGCATGGGAGCAAGTATTAAATCGTCTTTCAGCAATGTGTTGGCTTAGAGGCTTTCAGTGGGTTTGCATCTGCTTTCATTCCCCGTTTATAAACGTTAGTAGCTACACAACTAGGGTAGCAAGGTAATTGTGGTGCTGTACCCGGGGGTGTGGGCACACTTGGTATTAAGGAGGAGTTGGACTGTGCTGTATCTACCTGCACCATGCTTGCCTCTCACCAAAGCTGGCCTGGGTAGTTTGCTCTGATGGTTGTCCTTGAGGTGTGGTGTCCTGTGAGAGTGGCAAATGCAGGAACGCTGCGGTAGGTTGTTGTAGGTGGCTGATAAAGCTGAATAGGACTTCTTAAAACATGGCTGAAGAATAAGCATATTTACGGATTTCTTCCCCCTCAGAAGCTAACTAGGTCTGTGGCAGTCTTAAAAAAAACCAAAACAAAACAAAAAACACCTATTACTGGCAATAGCTATCTTAGTAATTTCTAGATCTTGTGTAGTATCCATATCTGCTGTGTTCAGTGTTTGGAAATCTTGAGAGTTGTATTAATTTCTCTTCTCTGAGGCAAAAATCAACAGAGGTGCTGGACGGACTGGTCTTACAGATTCCTTTTCGTGGTGAGGGCCTTTACTTTCTCTTCAAGAATTCAGTGTGTGAATTAACACTAGCAACACTGTTGCCTTTGAACTGCACCACAGATTTATGCAACAAAGAATGTTGTAAATTCCAGTTGTGCCTGAAGTCGATAGCTTCGGTAATTTAGTAAGCACAGATCTGTTCCAGCAGAGGAGTAACCCAAGATGATGAGGATGTATTTTGCGTTTGAGTCAGTCCTGCACCAAAGGGAGAGAAATAGCTACGGTTCTGATATTAAACATATCCAAAGTAAGTTAGTTTTCTTCACGGGAAGCATTCAGTTGCCTGCCAGAATTTGAAGTTGCAATGTGAAGCTTGACAGTAAGCCCAGGGCTGACAAATGCTGCTCAGAGCTGTGTTACCTTTGTGTGATGTGGGGGAAGGGAAGTTGTGACAAGTCTCTGCTCCCTTTGTGTCACAGTTCTCTCAAAAGAGCTGGTGCAAGTGGTATTAAGTCTTTTCTTACCTTCCTGTTTCTCATACAAGAATACGGGTTATCTACTTCTTGAGCTAGCTTTTGGCTAACCCTGCAAGAGTACTGTGACATGTCATCTGCAGCTCCTGTGCACAGCAGTAAGGCTGCTGCCCCGCTGGCTGCCTCCTTTGAGAGAGACTCGAGGAGACTGCGCAGAATTCTTCGTTTACTGACGTGCAGGTGTGGACTCTGCAGGCCTGGGCTTCCTTACTGACTGCACCGTTTCTGTTTCTTGGTTTTAAGGGATTTTTGTCCTTCCTTCCCCTCCCCTTTCTGCTACCCCACCCCTGTATACAGGCATCATCTTTCCTTCACAAATGGAAGAAAGAGCATGGATAAGAGCGTCCGCATCACTCTGGGACCTCTATTCCCCCTTTTTGTGAAGGCAGAAATGCAAGGGATTTAAAATACAGCAAAGCAGCAGAAGTAATGCCACCTTGCAACGGTGTTCTCCTTGTGACAGCTTTCTTTGTTACTCTCCTTTCATTTCTTTAAATCAACATGTGCACTGTGGATTTACGTCTGCTCAGAAAAATAGTGAATTAAGGTGTGGGGTTTTTTTTACACCGTTCACTAAAAGACCCTCCTCCTCCCCTTTAGAAGTGCTTTGTAACCTTTGCCTTTGTGCACTATATGAGGTGTTACAAGGCCACAGTTTGAATATTAAATTATAATGAGCATCTTTGCTTCTTGGGAAATGTGAGATCTTTGTAGAATGTTAAAGGATTGTAGACTTTTGTAACCCTTGCTTCTGCTGAGAGGCCCTTTCGATTTGGCTTCACTTCACGTTTGCTGAGGCAGTGCGGGGGATCGGCTTCTCTCCTTTTCAGCTTAGTTACTTACTTTTGCACAGTTACCCTGAAAAAGCTCAAGATACTAGCTTAAGTTTTATAATATAAAGTTTCTGTATATATAAAACTATATGAGAGATTTGTGGTTAAAGTACGAGGTGTGAGTTGCCACAGACTTCTGGTGTGACTTTAGACAAATTACATAATCTCTTAGTTCTTCTCTGGTCTTTTTTCTGTAGCAGAAACTTTTACATTATGTGTGTATCTGTTCAGTGTCTCAGGTTTTAATAATAGCTTTACAGCGTTAAAATAAATTGATTTATACTGTACATTAATAAAAACTTCGTGTTCTGCTTAAGTGATGTCAGTTGATCTTTTCTGATAAATTTTCTATGGATTCTTCTATGAATCTACTAATGCTGCTCTTGGTTATACTGTATGTTTGAGTTTTTGTTGAACTGGAATTCTGCATTGAGACAAGCAGTACATCATGCTTCTGATTTCCAGTAAAGAACTGATCTAGAAGGAAAAACGTGTAATAAGACACTGCCTGTGCTTTCTCTTGCTATAGGGTAGTTCTCGGAGGGAACCAAGCTCTGTGTGTAGGTGTTGTGCTCCCCTGTTCCCCTTGTAATTTTCCACTGAATTGCTTCAGTGCTTCCCGCGCTTAGGCTTGCATGACTGTTTTGTAGCACTTCATTGAAATCCTTTGCACATTCTGATAAATGGTTTTTCTTGCAGTTATCGCTGTGATGATTTTGTAGTCAATGATACCAAGCTGGGCCTGGTACAGAAGGTCAGAGAGCACCTACAGAACTTGGAAAAGTGAGTAGTTTGTTTACATCCAGACTGCTTTGGGTGCGCTTGTAATATTGCATCATTTAAGTGTTATTGCTGTTTTATATGTGTATACATATTTAATATGTATATTTTTGTCCTCCTATGTGTGTGATAACTGTGTATGTTTAAATATCCTTTTCATCACTGAGATGTAGAGGTGCAGAACGAATGGATTTGGCTGATCCGGTATGTTTTGTTTCTTACACTGTGAATCTCATAGAAGCAGCATATGGTGATACAGGAATTTAGATATCGATTAACTTTCTTGCTACCTAGCCAATAATCGCTGTCTCTTTCTGAATAAACTGGAAAGAATTTCCAGAACAGAATCGTAGTTTTTTCAAAACCAGGATAAGTTTCTGGAGCAGAGAGACTGAAGCGAAAATGCAGGTAGTACTCTTCATATTAATTACGTAGTTTGGTTTCCAAAGGAAAAGATTGAGAAGGTTTACAAACTTGGAACTGTACAGGAGACGTGTTTTTCCTCTGCCTTTATCTGGCACTGTTCCAGTGAAAAGCAGGCATTACGATCGTTCTGATGCAGATGCTGTGCCCAGTGCTAGATAGCAAATAGTCTTTTCACAGTTGGCTTGGAAGTCTTCTATAATACTAAACAGAAGTAAGTGTGCTTACAGTGCTTCCAAATACTTTTGAATGCCCCAGAGTTCCAGTAGAACTCCTGCTAAGAAATTGCTATGATCTGGGAAAGTCTCTGGATCCTCCCCAAGTTAAGTGTGTCACTTACTCTGTTGGTAATATTAACATTTTCATTATTTTCCATTCTCTTTTTGATGGACTTCTCAGGTATGTAATGGGATGTAAAGATGTTTAAGCACAATGAGAAGTGCACATTAGTATTTTGGAAGTGTCCAGGAGATCCTCTTTGGGAGGTAAATGATACCGTGGAGGATTCCATTGGGTGTAATGACAGTTTTTGAATATTTGGAGGAGTTACTAATTAAATAATACTACTACTAATAATAATAAATAAAAATAACCAAACCAAACCTAAAATCTGGAACAAGTTTTGATTTTGCTATTAGATTAGAGAGAAGTCATAAACTGGTAAAATTGAGGGGCCAGTAAGTTTGAGTGATGTGGAAAATAACTAATTGTTCTTGAAACTTTGTATTAGTATTACACAAACGTTACAACCTCATGTATTTGTATGTAAGAGAAGTCAGCTATAATACATACGTGCTAGTGCTCAAGATATTTTTGATTTTTTTGTAACTTTACCCTGTGCTGATTTTTTGAAGTTGTCTTTCTAGAGGCTGAGATGATTCTTCTGATGGAAGTATTTTAGGGAAAATTCTGTATTAAGTATTCCTTTGAATAAGGAAAAAGATCAATATTTTTAGGTGAAAAGTAGCATACTAATAAGACTAGTCTTCAGCACATATACTGTAGCATGCCTAAGTTAATGCAGTTAACTTGGACATTAATGTTGAAAATAGGATGTGCGTCTGTACTCTGAGGGACATACAGTTAAGACTATGAAAAGCATACGTTGCAATCAGGAAGCTCTTTGCTGTCTTAATGACAATTGATGGCAGATGTAATCACCATGTTAAACATTAGGATGATAATCTGTTGTCCATTTCACACCATACTGTGTTTTTATAGTAAGTAACCTCTTCTAATTACTTTCCAACAGTTCAGCCTTTACATCAGACAGACATAGGAAAAGAAAACTATTGGAAAACTCATCTCTGAACAGCAAGTTATTAAAAGTAAATGTAAGTATGACAGATTCGGTAATCTACTGGGGCTTGTAGGTGGCCTAGACTTGAAATAGTTTCAATCAGTTACCCAAATTCTGCTTGGTGCACTTTGTCTTTCTCATCTCCTGACCACACACCTAGAGGAGCCCCTTTTCTCAAAAGAGCATTTGATATTCTGCTGCATTTCTGTTGACCTAGACTTTCGAGCTTCCCTGTGCTTCAGAAGGGTTTCATGCCAAGATGGAGCTTCAGGGCAGCTTGAGCTTGGTGGGATCAGAGGAATCGGAAGGTGCTAGTACCTATTGGGATTAAAATAAGGCTAGACATAAGACTTCTCTTTTCTGAGCAGACAAGGGCTTTTTGTCTCTCAGGTGCACTGTCTTTTTCTAGGGGAATAAGAGAGTAATTGCTAAGAAAAAGTAAAAAAAATTAACAAGTTTCTAGAAAAGCTTATTAAAACTTGCTTTCAAAAGGAACTGTGGGCTATTCTGAAAGCTTTTGTCACTCTTCATTTGTCATCTGCCTGCTTTTTTAACCTCACATCTGCAGAATAGCACCCAGGAGAGGCAGATCCAGCCCTTGCTAGATATCGGAAGGGCTACATAGTTTCTTCCAGACAAAGAGTGCCACAAACCTAATGTCTCTGTTTTCTACAGTTTGGGTTGAAGGAGTTTCTAATCTTCATAATTTCTCCCGGATTTTAGGCAGGGAGAGGGGAGATAGTGACCCAGCTGTATGCAACTGCTTCATTTTTCCCCTTGGCCAGAAGGGGCGGTAGGGCAGAGCTGTTCCTCCATGGCCCCAGGGACTGCAGGATAGCAATGTAGTCAAAGGGAGCTGAAGCAATAGCTGTCTTCAGCTATGAGGAACAATCACCTGATTACAAAGAGAAGTAGTTCTTGAGAGGAGTATGAATGGAAATAAGAGGGTGGGGTGGGAGCAAAGCAGTCAGTTGCTGTTTTGCAAAGTCTGTCGGGGTTTGGTTACTTTAAAAATGCACTACCTACAGCCGATTCAGGATCCTCCGAATATGCTGTGTATGCTCCCTGTACTGTCCCAACCTTGAGGGTGATTGAGGAAGCTTGGGAGAAACAGTGTTTTTTTGGTTTTTTTTTGCTATGGCAACACACAGCATCATTGTCTGGAAGACTGAAAGCCAGAACGAAAATTCTAGGCAACATTTAGAATTAGAAAGCATTAACTTAATATGCTGCTCTTACTCTTCTTAGTCTGTGATGTTTTCTCAGTTTTATTAATTTATTAATACTTGAATATTGCCCGTGGCAACAGGTGATCTTTTTATTGTTGGCACATTGAATCCTTATCTAGAAAAGACAGGGCACTGCCGTTTGCATTGATACACTGCTGTCTCACCCCGGGCAAGAGTGAGAAAAGAATACGCTAAAGACACTGTGGTGATGTACTTGAAAGTTTTCTCACTTTAGTGGAAAGCAGGTCTCTCTTGAAACAATTCTTACTGAAATGGCAAATTGCTTATGTAAATAATACTTTTTTTTTTTTTAACAACATATACACAAATATCCTGCTGTCATTAGTTCTTTACCAGAGATGATGATTGTGGTAGATTTGGGGAGGAAAAAAAGGTTTTATTGGAACACTTTGAATACATATTTTGTAACCTGGATTTGCATGCAGTCTTTGGTGTCAAGTTAAATGTTCATTTTGAGATATTACTACTAAAAGATAGTATAGCTTTTAAATTCAGTCAGAACAATGAAGAATGCCCAAAAATTTGATGAACTTTCAATGTGATTTTTTGTATGGAATGGACACAATGGAATGTGTCCAAGTGTTGCAGAGTCTAGAAATCATAAATGCAACACTGTCCACGTTTCTCTTCCCTCTCCTCCCAGCCTACCATGAAGACTATTTGGCAAAAAGTTAGCTCATAGCTCTAACCTGTTAAAACTCCTTGACTGTAAATGGTATATATTTTGCTTCTCTTCATTCAACACATTGCTTTTTCTTTGCACAGTTTAACTTAAATAAATGCTGTTTTCTATCCTTCAAAATCCTTCCTGGCTACCATAAAACCCCAGCAAGACAGCAGGCTAGTGCTGGTGATTTAAAAACAACCTGCAGGCTGCCACACTGTGCATATTAGACATGGGACTAAATGGATAAGGATTGGTATTTTGATTTTTTTCTTTTTTTTTTAAAGGCACTTCAGGGAAATTGCTGTCCAGTTCTCACTGAACATTTTTGGAGTGTGACTATTTAACATATATACATACAAATACTTTGCAATAGAAACCTGTGTTTAACTCTGTGTTGTCCTATTCTAGATTTATTTGCACAGGGAAAAGATGTAGTATAGTTTTCTGTTGACAGGAATGAATAAGAAACAGGTTTCGTGTCAAGATGGAGCTTCAAGGCAGTTTGAGCTGGTGAGGTAGTTGCTTTGGCTTTGAAACTGCACTTTTCAAACAGTGTAGTTTATTATTGGTTAAATCTATGCTGATAAAACAGTAACAGCTCTGTGGGGAGAAAGTCGGGGAGCAATGATAAGTCTTTCTTTAACTTAACCGTTCTCATTTCCAGGGAAGCACCACTGCCCTTTGTGCCACAGGCCTTCGGAACCTGGGGAATACGTGTTTCATGAATGCAATCCTTCAGTCGCTCAGGTACCTCCGAAGCTTTCCCCACACCTCTGTGAGAGTATTTGTGTGCTGTAGCATTAGGGAAAGGGAATTACCACTGTACAAAAGTGCCCCTGGATTTGCAGGAGTGGGTGCATATAGGTACCATAAAGTTGTTTCGCAGTGTGAGGGACTTGCTGTGAAGCAGTGTTCCAGAGGAAGCCTGCCGTATCCTCAGCAGAAAAGGAGACTGTCCTTTCATTGCCGAGGCTGCTGAAACATGTCGATGCTTGTGGTCGCTGTGAAAGCAGAGACGGCACTTTGAGGGATGTGACCTCATTGACGTGGGTAGGAGAACAGTTTCTGCAGTGCTGAGATGTTAGACCCCATTTCATTGCTGCCAAGACCCCCGCTGCTCTGTAATTGTCCTTTTGCATTTCCTGCCTCACTGGGAGACTCCTGAGTCGGGCTATATAGCAAGACTAATTGGTCTCCATTTTCTTCTCCATCATTCAGGGCTCACTGGCACGAGTTGAGGGAGTTGAGGCACATGCTTCTTATGTTCCATTACTGGGACCTGTGGTAGCAGAGGTTAGAATTGATAGGTGGCAATAGACGTGGAGTTAACCTACTCAGCAGATGCAGCCTGGTTTGTTAGGAAATGCCTTCTGATGCTTCCATGTGTCATGGTATCTCTTAGTCAAAGTAGAGCCAAAATATAATTGTTTCAGGTAGTCGGGATGATACAGATCTGCTCAGTCGTTTACAGAAGATGAGTATTTGCTACAGTATTTCTTGTATCTTGAACTGTTCGTGATTGTCATCCTCTACCACTGCCTGAAATTGTACTTATGCATTTCAAAGAACAGGCTCCAGTATACATAATATTCTTTCTTCTCTGCCCTTTAAGGATTTCATTCCTTTTTTCCTTTTTCCATAGTAACATTCAACAGTTTTGCTGTTACTTCAAAGAGTTGCCTGCTGTGGAGCTGAGGAACGGGAAGACAGCAGGCAGGCGAACTTACCATACCAGGAGCCAGGGGGATAACAACGTGTAAGCTGCATGTTCCTTGTTGGCACTGAACTTTACAGAAAACAGCAAATGCTTGGGTAGTACAGCCGCTATATGCTTTTAGTGTTGCAGAATCACAGAAAAATGATTCATGGGGTGACAGAGTCATAGAAAAATAATTGACTACATAGAAAGAAAAACCTTGTATCCTTGTATCACTTTCAGTTTGCTTATGTAGGTCTGGTGCTGCAGGGGGAAGCAGTCAGATACATCAGAAAGCACTGGAGTGTAACTGCATTTAAAGTAAGGTTAAAAAGTGCTAGTTACATGTACTCCAGATATTACCTTACTCAATTACAGCTAAAATAGGGTCATGGGGATGTGTCTGCAAGTGAACATACTACAAAAAAAACCCAAACCCAAACCCCAAAACACCACTCAACCAAAAAAACCCAGAGTAAGCAATTCACAATCTGTAGCTTGTTTGAACAAGTGTTAAAGGGATGATGGTAGCAGAGTCTACAGTAAAATGGCAAAAAGTGGATAGATTTCCAGGTGAATCCTCAACATCTGAAATGTAATTTTCCGAACCTGTGTCTCTCTGCAGCATTATGGGTAGAATTTTGGAAATCAAATCTTTCAAGTACTGGAAAGGATATTTACCCGATCCTTACAATCTTAACCAAAGTAATGTCTGATATTAGTACCATTGAGCTAGTAAACCTATAAGGTTTATAACACAAACCCATATTAATCACCAGCTTTTACTTTCTTTTCAGTTCATTGGTGGAAGAATTCAGAAAGACACTCTGTGCTTTATGGCAAGGAAGCCAAACTGCATTTAGTCCAGAGTCTTTATTTTACGTTGTTTGGAAAATCATGCCAAATTTTAGGTAAGTTTTGTAGAATAAGAACAATATTCTTGATTGCAACCTTGTATTGCTAGTGCCCTACACTAAAATTTGCTGACTCTGCGGGAGGCACTATATGCAGCTTTCCCATATGCCCACAAATATGCTGTGAAAAGGATCTTCACTTTGATTGACAGTTTTGTGTTCACCGGTAGTGCTTTTGTTTTCCCCTGCCCTTCTACCTCATGCTGCATGTAGCAGTGTCGGAGAGGACAAACATCTCAAATAGTAAAATAGTAGTAGTAGTTGTACCTTTGAGCCAGTGCTCCAAAGGGCAGAAGAATCAAGATAATGACTGGTAGGTAAGTGCCAAGGGCATGGCATTGACAGAAGCCAAGCTTGGCTGCAATAAGAAAGTGATGTAGTCAGATTAAAAAAGATAGATACAGCACCTACAGGCCTAAATGCAAACATACTGGCTGAAACTTCCTTGATTCTCTCAGAACACTGTAGTCACCAGTTGGACATGAAATAAGGGCTGTAAGAAAAAATCTTGTCTGTAACAGGCATTTTGTGCCCATACTGACAAAAAAGACGATAAAAAGAAAGAGAAGGTTACCCGAGTAAATCAAAGTATCGTTCCTCTCCAAGGTCTCCCTGTCCTGGCCACTGAACCTCTTTCAGAGGAGCACTGAAACCTGTTAGGATATATTGTGATGAAGGTAAGTTGCTCCATGTTCTCAGGTAGTAAAGATGTTCTGTTACCTGTTACATCTCCAGCAGTGCTGAAAAGATGCTGTGAACACATCTGCTCAACGAGTAACCCGAGTAACACAAATCCATTTATTCTATTCTTCACACTGCCAAATATGTTTCACTTGGCTTATGAGAATCAAGGAAGTTTAATACCAGTAGTTGCAAGCAGTGACTGAAACACTATAGGCAAACGAACATCATCGATGAAGTCCTTGACCAGTTTCCCTATTACAGCCTTCACTATAATTCTTGTTAGACTAAGTGAGAAACCAGTTCATTAAAGTTTCTCAAGCAAATTTTCAGCACTGTGGGTTCTATCACAGCTTTTAAAAGAAAAAGTGCTGTTTGTGGGTTTCTCCCCCTCCCCTTTTTATTCCCAGTTAGCAGGGAACGCGTCCATGATTAATTAAACAGTGCATCATCCATATCATGATCTTCTTAAAGATCTTTATCTTACTCTTTTCAACAAATCCAAAAAAACCTTTCATGTGTAATTAACATATTTGCATGCAAGTATAAACACATGCACCAGGAGCACAACCAACAACGTGGAATGATTCCAAAGGTTATTTCATGAAATTTGTTGCAGAGCAAGGTTGCCATATACTTCAGAGCTCTTTTGTGAGGAATATTGAAAAGGTGTCTGAAGCAAAGACTTTCCATAAATTTCAACTTCAGCTGTTTATTATGATTGCCTATATGTTTATTAAATTGAAGATATCTGTATTCAGTAAATGAAGCAAATCCTGTGTTATTTCACCAAGTTCAAGATTAACCTACAGTGGGCTCAATTAACATGCAGCTTTGAAGCTGAGTTCTGGTTTACTACCTTATTTCATAGTAATGTATAATTCTTTTGCAACTTTGGGAGCATAAGTCCTATTTTTGGCCGTACAGGACTGGCCTGCTGAAGTACAGCAGTACTTCTGTGTGCCAGTTCTTCTGTTGTAAAAGGTAGGTAGTGCTGCTGATGTTTTTCAGGGTGCCGCAAGGTTTACATACGAACTCAATGATTTCTTTCAAAGTTGCTAGTTTGGAAGAAAGCATACTATAATTCTACAAAATGAAAAGATTTTATTTCATTTTTATTTTATTACCTCCTAGCAATACTTTTGTAGGACATGCCTGTGTTCTTCACTAAGCACATCAGCCTCATGTTGCACACTTCTGTTGCACTGGATCTGTTCTTGTTTCTCTCCAGCTCTGGGTACTGTGCCATGAGTCTTACAGCCATTTTCCCTCCCCTGAGCAGTAGCATAAAAAACATCTCTTGTTGATCCCTCCCAGACGTTCCTGTGTGACAGTTACTGCCAATACTTCTGCGGAATAGCGAGAGGGAAGAGGGGTGGGGAAGCATGATAAAGCAGCTTAAAAGAATGGACAAGAGGAAGAAAAGAAGCCAACCCTACTATGTAGGGATTTTTGTAACTAGGCCTACGAAGGCTTGCACATAATTATGTCAGTGTTGCACAAAGCTTTCACTGTTTCACTGTGTGTGCTTTCATCAGTATACATCTTATGGCAAACGAATAGCAGTTATTTGTTAAATATGGTGCATGATTTAGCTTAAATAACTTCAAAGGCATATTTTACCCTCATGGCTTCTCTGTTCCCTTTGATTAGGTTTGTTAGTGGTGAAATACTAATGGTGACTCTTTGAGCAGCATGGCTGCTGATGGCATGGCACATCTGAGACTGGAGCTCTGTCCTACCAAATCCAAATGCTCCAGAGATGCTCTGGATACCCCACCATTACCTCCCGCTCCCAACAAATGGTGTGTGGGTTATGCAGGGGAGGTGTGCAATTCTGAGCATGGCTATAGATCTCACCATAGAAGAGGAAAATCTCTCTTTGATCCTTATTATTTCAGTCTTCATATTGTTGCGCAAAGATGTGTGAGGAACAAACCCAAAGATTAAATTCCTGACTTTACTGGGGAGGGGAACAAACAGGCAAGCAAACACCTGGGACGGCCAAAGTGAGTGGGAGCAGTGGCTGAATGAAAACCGCTGAGAAATACTGACTCCGAATCCCACGGAAACAACACATTTTGTGGTGTCTTTCTTTTGAATCTTAGCAGGTTCGAGATGTCAAGACACTGACTGTAATTTACAGTAGCTTCAAAGCAGGGATGAATAGCGTGCTGCCTGAATCTGATTCGAAACAATTCTGTGGAGGTACTAATCAAATATAGTCAATAACAAAGAAAAAAGAGACATGCTTTCCCGAGTGAGGGGAAGTCACCGCAACTATTGTGTATTTTTAATTACCATGTGTATGAGTCCTAGGATGTTACTAGCACAGACTGAGCGTGGTGAGGCAAATTAACGTTAACCCAATACCTGAGCAAATGTTATGTCTGTGCTGCTCCCTGTTTTCTAAAATGTCTCTTTGTATCTAAAATGTGTATTCTTTAATGTTTCTCCATCCTCAAAAGAGATGCGCAGAGAGGGAGCAAGCTGTGATGGACCAAAAATCACTTACTTTGTCTAGATATAGCTGTACGTTTCCAAAGGCAGCTTGGATAACTTTTTTGCACAAAATATGTATGTCTCTGTAAAGTCTGCTTAGTACTTTCAAACGAGCAAAGGTTCTTTCATGTGACCCTGGTGCTCTCTGTGTGTCGGCACTAAAGCAACCTGTATATTTGGTGATTGTGGTGGTGTTTCCTTTTCTCTCAAGGGGATACCAGCAACAGGATGCCCACGAGTTCATGCGTTACCTTTTGGACCATCTACATCTGGAACTCCAGGGTGGCTTCAATGGTGTTTCACGTTCAGTAATTTTGCAAGAAAATTCTAGTCTGTCTGCAAGCAACAAATGCTGCATGTAAGAAGTCTTTTTTTAATTTTATCAAAGTCTTAATGCCTTTGTATGGGTCTGTGTGTGGTGGATCTGAAATTTCAAATTCATGGTTCCTTGTTTAAGTAAGTTCTCTTTAGTGCCTCCGATGTTACGAATTACAAAGCTGCAGGTTATAAAGGACTAGCATCCCATTGGATGTGCTTCCTTTGAAAAGGATCAGCAATTTTCGTAGGTGTGAGGGAGCATACGTGCTGAGTTGTAAATGCTTAAAATTCATTAGTCTTTCAGAAATAAAAAGAACGAACTTTATTTTCTATTCTATACCCATAGAGAATTCTTTGTTCAGACAATCTCGTTGTCTTACGGTGACAGATGGCCTGAATAGTACAGGAGCAAGAAAGATGGCCAAGTATGCGTAGGTTTAAATTGTCAGCAGACTTCCCGGATTAACCAGTGAGCAGTGCAGTTACAGTTTGAAGTCAATTTCCCTTTTTTTTTTCCCTACAGATGGTCTTGCTATATTTGCATATCACTTGACACAGTTAAAGCTCTTGCTTTTTTCCCTGGTAATTTTGATTTCATGTTATTGTGTGTCTCAAAACTGAGATAATCCACGTGTTTCACTCCTCTTTCTGTGCTTCTCAAACTACTGTTGTTTCTGAATTCTGTCCCAGGTGTGTTTTCTCTCAGACTGAAACTGTCACAGGGAGAAAACATTTTAATTTGCTTCAGGAAGGAATGTTAAGTCAGTTTAGTCTGTGCATTTGGTCCCTAAGTCCTTGGGTTCCCTACATAAGAGCTGAGTGAGTTGTCCCTTCCTGTACCAACTAGGACAGAGTAAGCAGGTTTGAGAGATGCAGGATTTTATAGACAGCTGATTAGGGAAAGCCTAGAGTTCGGACTGTGCTCTTTACCACATTTATGTTGCTTTGCTGATGCTTAAAAATCCCACAAAAGAATCCCAAAATGTTCTTAGAATTGAAGTGTATTTGAAAACTAAACCAATTTTGTTTTGTCAACACTTTGAATGTCAAAACTGAAGGGGAATTTAAACTTTGTTCACCTGTCTACTGTAAATTTGTCTTGAGAGTGGCTGTTGAAATGCATGGTGAGGTGGAGAGAGCTGCCTTCTGTCAAGGGTAAATTAAGGTCGCATACACCTAAATGCCTACAGTAAAGTAATACATGTTCTGTGAATGCCCCTTTCTTGAGTGCCAGTTTGTTTGGGTAGCCATTTCCTTCTGCTCAATAAGAAGCGTTCAAAATAACTTTAAAGATGGAGGTGGAGTGCAGATGAAAAACACGCAGGTTTCTGCAGGCATGTGGTGTGAGATCTGCAAGCACAAACTAGCAAGTTTAGAAGTTGTAGAGTAATGTAACTTTAAAAATATTTTGGTTTGGTCTTTTTTTTTTCTTTTTTTTTTTTTTTAATTGGACTGTGAGACATAAGTCTTTTACAGAATCTGCTAAAAAGGTTGAGAGAGTAATGAAAGCACAGAGAATGATAATGCATATTGTTTATCATGTCAATGCAACTTAAGCTGTCTTTGGAAGTGAAGTGCAGAAATATGCTTTAAAAAGTCAAAGTTACTTGTAACAAAGGGTACAGAATTAAAACAAAAAATATGCTCGACCTGACTACGAAGGAAGAATTTTTGTTTTGGAAACAGCCTAAATTACAGGGTTAAAATACTGTACCTGGTGAGCATCAGCTCTGCGCTATAGAAATGCAATCAACCAGAATACTTTCCACACTGAAGTTTTGAGCATCTGCTTAGAGCATACGCACTTCACGCTTTCTTCAGGTACAAGATAAAGCAGAAGTATTATAGCAGCTAAATACTTGCACTGTACAGTTCTGGGGCGAATGGGTGAATGAAATGCCCGGTGGATGAACTTGAGCTCTGTTAGTTACACATGGACAAAACTGCTCTGCCTAGTAGAGGGTAGTTGTAAGCAGAAAACTTGTAACAGGTATTGAAAATTTAAGCTGAGACATTCTGACTGACTTCACTTCTCTGATGTGGTTTGTCTAGAAATGGAGCATCTACTGTTGTCACAGCGATTTTTGGAGGCATTCTTCAAAATGAAGTCAACTGCCTAATATGTGGGACTGAATCTAGAAAGTTTGACCCATTCCTAGGTAAGGTGCCTCTTGCTTTCAAAATACCAGGTGACCTAAGGCAGAAAAATAAATCTGAAGCTTGATAAATTTAGACGTCACATGACTGAACCAGAGTTTTAGCCTGAAAAGATTAGGCATTTTTTATTCAGCCCTAATTTTTTTTTTAATCTTTGTTTTTCCAGACCTTTCGCTAGATATTCCAAGTCAGTTCAGAAATAAACGTACTAAAAATCAAGAAAATGGACCAATGTGCACACTACGAGGTAAGAGTGCTTGGATAGAGTATATACTCTTCAGAGTATCTATTTCAGAGGAGCCAGGCTTTGACCTAGGGTGTAACTTGGTGCCACGTGCTATCTAATTTAATGAAATTCTGTGGTAGAAGAAGGTGCCAGAATAGTTTTCCATACAGGTTTTACCCCAGGCACTGTGTATTGACATACTACTATGATAAACTGGAGCTGAGAAGTGCTTCAGGAGGTGAGCTAGGAGGTCAGAGGTTTTTCTTTGTGGTCAGAGTATTTCTAATATATTCCAGTTTTTCCAACCAGCATTTATCTGCAGTGTTGCTTACTGGCATGTGCTAAGGCTCTGTGCTTAGAAGCGTGCGCCCCTTGTGCGCAGTAAGGGTAACTCTGGGGTGTTCTGCTTTGTAAACAAAATAAATAAATACAATCCTGCAAAGCTGGGCACTAGTGCTGTTATTGACCTTGTTGTAAAGGATATTAATTTGTACAGATTTGTGAATATATTTGCTGCAGATTGTGAAATATTAATCAAACCCCATTATTTTCTCTGTTCACTTTGTACCTTAAAAGTTGAACGTTCTTTGTTAAAAAGTCATTTGGTTTCATTTGGAAATAGTTGTGCTGAACATTGGATGGAATCTTGTTTGAAAGATGGAGATTTCGTGAATGCCTTTTTTTCTCTTGAACTGCTTATAGCTACGTTTTAAGGAACAGGGAATGCTGCATGTTACAACGTATTACTATACAAAACCACATTATTACACAGCTTTTTGTTGCATAGATATATATAATAACTGCAGTAGATATGCACAATTCTCTATAGTGCTGTATTTGCTGTATTTCATGTTACAAAAATCACTTGATGTCATCTTGAATCAGGTTTCTTTGTGTGGGTGTTTTGGTTTTTGCATCTTGTTCTTTTTTTAGATTGTCTTCGCAGTTTTACAGACCTGGAAGAACTTGATGAGACAGAGCTGTATATGTGTCACAAATGCAAAAAGAAACAGAAGTCCACCAAAAAATTCTGGATTCAGAAACTACCAAAGGTAGGTTTGTATAAGTGTGAAACGTAACAGTGTGACAATTTGTCAAAGGAAAAACGATTCGAACGTTGCACCTCACTCTCCCATAGGCTATTGCAGCTGTCAAGCACTAAGTTCAACCTCTTCCTCTAATGCATCCTTTTTTCTTTTTTTAAATCCTGTAGGTGCTATGCTTACACTTGAAACGATTTCACTGGACAGCATATCTGAGAAACAAGGTTGATACATATGTTGAGTTTCCCTTACGAGGCCTAGACATGAAATGCTACTTGTTAGAGGTATGAAGACTCACTGATACCTTCTGTAGAAAGTTGTTTCACAACATATGTCTTTATTACAAACTATAGTAGATGCTACTGGGATCTGAAGAGTTTTCTGTCTTTTTAACCACAGCCTGAGAACAGTGGCCCAGAAAGCTGCCTGTATGACCTTGCGGCTGTTGTTGTGCATCATGGTTCAGGGTGAGTACATGGAGTAAGCCTGCTTCTTGGCAGAGACCTTCTCCCCGCTGAAGTACGTGCAGAGTTAGTTAGAGTTTTTCCGTCCCTGGCGAATGCCTGTCTTTTTATGAATTACTACTAGTAACCAGTAAACTTACGTGGAACTAAGCTGAATTCACTTCAGACAGATCTATACCGCTATTCCCGTGAATGCCCACTGGCAGTCTTTGGGGGTAATGACTAGAAGTGTGAGACAGACCGAAGATATCCCAGTTCCTCTAGGACTGGAAAGCCCTAAACCAACAGAGTGAATCAAGAGGCCTTCCAGAAGTTAAGGCCTCATTTTGAAATTCTTAGTACAAAGCAGAAATATTTTTTCTTCTTTTATTCACTTTGAAAGGCGCATGTGCACTTACGCTGAAAGAGTGTGCGTGCATGTTTGGAACAACTGTAGACTTAAGATTGGCACAGTGAAAGCAATTATCCTGTATTCACCTTCTCTCCTACAGGAGTGAACTTCAAAGTGCATGCTAATGGGCGTGCCACCAGGCTGGCTAGTGTTCACAGTTTGAAGGAAAGGTGCTGGGTGTGTTTTGTTTGCCCCCCGCCCCCCCTTCCCAGCCCTTGAGAGATCTGTTGAGAGTAACAGTAGGGAAAAAACAACTGTTTATCCTGAGAGATATGTGTTCTTGTTGTTTAGGCAACCACTCTATGGGCGTGAGCCGTGAAAAGAGTTTTCTTAAAGAAACTAAACCCTAATTCATCAAAAACTTGCCAACACCTGAATTAAAGATACAAAACAGAAGTTCTTTCTAGAAAGCCCTCTTTTTGCTTTCTCTAGAGGAATGGTCTGGCAAGTGAAAACAGGCCTTATCTTGGGGTGGCAGAGTAATGAAAATGGATGGGTTTGTAGTTCTGGTATGTTAGATTCAAGAAATATGGGTCCAAGACATAGATCTGTTTAAGATGAACTTGAAAAATTTTCTTCTTGCTATTCTGGGATTAGTTTTGCTATGAGTGGTTTTGATTATATTTAGACAACGTGAGTCTCTCTAAGACATAAACGGGGAAGATTTCTGAAAAAAGAGCCTAGAGAAATTTTTATAGCTAATGCTTGAATAATAACAGATTATGGGCTTGATTTTTATGTAGGCAAACATGGAAGGTCAGTGTTTAAGGAAACGTTGCTTGCACAAAAACTATGGGATGCTAATAAGTTCATATAAACACCCCCCCCTTTCAACTCATCCTAGTAAGTGATTATTTTACTTAACATAAAACTTTACTTTGGAGAACTTTTGAGCCCCACAGATTAAGAAGGGCTGGATCTTACCAACTGCTGTGGAGGGCTGTCAGTTCCTTTCTGCCTGTGGTCCCTGGAAGTCTCTTAGCCCTAACAGAAAATGCATCAGAGAATGAGGTGGTCTGTCTCCTTCTGATTGTCCTTTCTTTCCCCGCCTCCCCCCTGCTGACAGCGTTGGCTCTGGACATTACACCGCATACGCAGCTCATGAAGGCCGTTGGTTCCATTTCAACGACAGTACTGTAACTTTGACTGACGAGGAGACTGTGGTAAAGGCCAAGGCCTACATCCTCTTCTACGTGGAACGGCAAGCCAAATCTGGATCAGATAAACTTTAATACCTCCTTTTAATTCTCACTTATCAAGTCCACCGGACAAAACATTTCCATTTTTCCATAAATACTTGATCCAAGACTATTAATTTCATTGTGCACTTTCAATTTCCTCTTGTGGGTTTTAGTTTTGTTGTGTCAATGGTAGCATTTGACTTACTGAACTTGGACACAAACTAACTTTTTTTTTAGTTATACCAGAAAACCTCAGCAGATTTTGATTTGCTGCTTTAGTTGTGATAACTCAATTTTTATATATATAGTTTCATGAAATACTTAGTTATTTGACTTTTTTATATTAATGTTTTCAGTTCTCACTTTCTAAAGGCACATTTACATCCGAGAAGCTTTCTATCCTCCTTACAAGCAAGATAAATGTGCTTCTGATTATGAAGAGCAATACAACTTCATGCTGTTCTCACAGCTGTTATGTAGATATGATTTAATCTCTTTAAATCAAAGAATTGTTTGCACGTGCTATTTTCCCTCGTGCAAGAAACTAAACAGTGACCTCTGAACAATCATTTTTTGTCTGCAGAAGAGAGGAGATGTGGCATCATTAAATAGACCAGGTAATTGCTGCTATATCGGTGTGTATTCAGGCTGCTGACTTTCAGGAATCATTGTAAATAAACAGTTGGTTCAATTGTATCTATACTGCAGTTTAATTCAAGTATTCCTTACATATGCTCTGCCCTCCCCCCCCCCTTCAAATTTAAAAAAATTATCTTAAATATATACATGTCCAAATTGTATTGAGATCTATGTTTTTTCAACCGAACCTGAATTGCCTTCAACATCTCTTGGTTTAGACTGTCAGCCTGAAATTTGATCATAAACACTTGCTTGAAAACTTGGAGACTTCCTCGCAGTGGGACTCCAACCCTCCTTCTTGGTGGCAACTGGGAGTACAGCCCCAAAGTTTGGGGTTTGTGAGAACAGTCTTAGGTCTAAATATAGCTCCTGTCCACTAAATGCCTGCCTTTCCCTTAAAACCAAAAGGAAGCGTATGGTGCTCCAGATGCTTTGCGTGACAATTGTTTTACCAGTTCAAACGCAAACTAAAGGGAGATGCTGGGTTTCACAGCACAGCAGTGCCTGACAGATGATGAGCCGAGACTGCTTGTTGTCTGGAGCAGACTCAGGTAGCTGCGGTATTTACGCATTAGCCCAGTGTGCGATCTTTATTTACAGTCTCCAGACAAACACTGGAAGCACGATACAATTTCTAAAACTTGGCTATGTAATGGAGAAAGACTTCTGTTTAAAAACCCCCTGAATTGTAGCTGTACTGCCATTCTGGAGAGTGGAAGTCAGCCAGCAAGATTTTAAAAAGGTAGACAGGGAATCCAGTATTGTAAAAGCCAGGAGTCCCCAAAACCCCTAAAATTTGACAAATGCTTCATTTCAGCTCTCTTCCCCCAGACCCATCCTTTATAGCTAGCCCCTGTGTGCCCAGCAACGAACTGGACGCTCCTAAAATCTCAAAACTATAGTGGTAAGAGTAGAATTTACTTAATCTAGAGTCACACAATCAAACAGCACCTTTTAGTTGTGATAACAGTAAAATATAGTAGTCCGAAAATACTCAAGAACTCAAGTAAAATGATTACCCTTTTTTGTTAT